TATATATATATATATATATATATATATATATATATATAATATATATATAATCGCTATATATATTGGGTCGCAGCGCAAAAAACAAACACGTTACTTAAAACACCCATCGCTTGTTAATGTTGCGACTTTACACTATATGGCGCGAATTAATGTTTAATGCGTTTCTTGCCAGGCCGCGAATTCCCGACGAGAAAAGCGATTATCGGCGGATGGATACTAAAGTATGTGCATATGTATATGTATATATACATATATATATATACACACACACGTATATATATATACATATATATATACACACACACACACACACATATACTTGATGACACCCTTGCGTTTAGACTCGTGTGCGTGGCGCGACGTTGATGAGGGAAGTTCGCGGAAAATGGCGAACTAGCGCGAATAATGAAACGTTTTGCTGCATCCCTTTCCGGCTGCCATTAAAGGAGAATCCTAACGAGTAAACTCTCCAGTTGCCGGAATTAATCCTCTAAAATGTTACTAAAACGTCGCTAACGTGGCTCGGTATGTGGAATTTGCGGTATCCGCGAGAAGTTCGCTCGAACGTATAAAATCGGCGAAGTATGGCTTAATAATGCGCGTGTAACGTAATAATAATAATTATTGTGCTGATTAATCAATTCCGTGCCATAAGAATTCGCACGTAGATACGTAGCTTTGAGATCGAAAGGCATATTTTGAGGTGATGCGTTCCGACTCGCCAAGTTGGAGTAACGCTTAATAATTAAAAGCAACAATTGAACGGCAGTGGAAACGCAATCATACACGAGGGTGAAATAATTTCGTTGTGTGTCGCGTGCGTACCCGTGTTTCACCGATGAATTTGAAACAGGCTATCGCTTTGTTCGCAATATAGCGAATTATACATCGGTATTGTTCCTCTGATAAAGTGTTCGCGAAGAAGCAAATTGGGCGCGTGTTTGGGCCAGATAAGCCACCGGAACGTTTGCGTGACGCGGAGGAGAGGGTCGTATATCGAATTTACAATAAAATGTATTATCTCGCGTCGACAGCACGTGGCACTGGCATCTGGCACCTCTCGTGCAGCGTATACGTTATATAATTAGCCAATCCGTTCTCGCCGGAAGTCCATATGTCTCCGCGAAACCGCCGTTAAAAGCGGTACGTCAAGCGCAAACCTCGCCGTTATTAACGCTTTTTTCAACGCGGCTTTTGCTATCCGAAAAAGGTGCGTTCGCGCCGGCTACGTTATATTTTTCGCCGATACACCGATCCGCACAATTCACGCGCGATTCATGACGCGATCCATTCGTGATATTTTTCACAAGGTCGCAAATCACGATTTCCGCTTTTGTACGTTCTCTACAACTTTATCGAAGTGCTAACGATGATGCGAGTTTATTTGAAAAATTCGTTTTGAAAGTTATGACGTTCGTCATTGTGCAGCTCGTAATCAACTCAAAACATTTCCTTGGTAGTTTTTCGAATGTTACCGTTGAAATACCGTTGAAATCTCACGCTCATTGTGATCAATTAAATACAACGACAAATAGTCCGTTAATACCGTTAATACAATCGACATCTCGACGTGATACGATTTATAAAACTATTGCATCAGCTGCGAGCGTGAATTAATAGTGATCTCTGCGGAACAATGAGCAACACGAACAATTAATATTTAATGAAATAATAGCAGCGCGCGACGTTCTCTCTCTCTCTCTTCCTACCTTTGTCAATTACCGTGCAACAATAGGACACGCGCTTTGTTCGGAAAATTGCGCTTTAGTGATAAATGCACCGAGACGGATACTCGACGCGGCTCTTCTCACCAGCTCTTGCACCGTTTCTTATATCCGCGCGAATTACGGGTCACGATCCGCGGATGAAAGGCGACCTTTGGCCGCGCCGTTTATTCAATTTAGCGCACGTACACGCGAAAGAGAGAGAAAGAGAGAGGCGTCTTCTTGTTACCGGTCGTTATCGCGACAAAAAGAAATTAAATCTCGCTGTGAAATCGATTAGAGTCCTCTCGAAAGACTGAAAATGGTTTTGTGTCTGCGCGTTGAGATGCAGCAAAAAGTTTCGAGGACGTAATCGGCTCGGCGGTGTCGACATAAGCGCGCGGTTTCCGCGTCCGCAGTTAAGTCGAAAAAAATGAAACGCCGGCAATACACGAAACTAACAAGAGCCGCGTTTCACGAACAGTCACGCACACACCGAGGAAAACGTGCGCCGCACCTACGAGTGTGTGCATGTCTGGTCCGTGTGAATGCGTCTCTCGCGTTCGTCGAATACGAGAGACGCATTTTTGCCCGAACGAGAGCGGACGTGATCTGAAGCGATGGTTCCCGTACGGTATTTCGAAAAACATCTGGGATTTTTGCAAGTAACTGTATTTTAGTTATCTTTGAAATCTCAATACGACGTTTTACATATCACCGATGGCGCGTAGTAAAAATTGATATAAAACATTTGTATTTTTACATATGAAACGTTCCGGAAATGATTTTTCCTCTTTTAAATCTTACACTAGCAATTCACAGTTGCGCAAAGAAACGATGACTACTGGCTTCTGCTACGAGTTCATTCTAACTGAAATTATATATTCATCTGTTAAACGATTTAAATTTTCATCTTAATCATACGAGACTGTCTGATCGAAAGTACTTTGATATTCCAGTTTCTTTTACGCTGTCTCGTTAATTGACAACTCCTTGGAATTCTCCTTCTATCCACTAAGAACCATCGCTCCAATGTCCACGTCCTACGCCAAAGGTTCCCCAGTACCCCATCACGTGCAGATGTACCCCATGTATGCCTACATATTTCGATCATATTTCCCGCGACCGATCCTATATGCGTACGCAATAAGTGTGCCTGCGCGTGTAAATGTGAGCGAGCGAGCGAGCGAGCGGACGCGCGCGCACACGCGCGCGTCGCCTCTGCGAGTGGTGGTATATGCTGTGTGTGTGTATGTGTGTCCGTGTGGCTGAGTGTCTGAGTGTATTTAGATGCGTGTAATGTGGATTCGTACACAATATCAATTAACGTGCACAAGAACAATACTGCCACGAGATTGCGTGCAGGGCGGGTTCGTGCAGAGAGCCGCACGGAGCATTGACAGTGTGACAGACCTGGCTTTAACAGACACAACTTTAGCCCCGACGGCCATGTTCTCTTTAATGTAGATCGGGCCATACACTACGTGGTCCCATACGGGCGGATTATTCGCACGGTCCACAACGTCAATCTGAACCTCCACCGTTCGCGACAAGGGCGGGAAGCCCTTGTCTTGGGCCATCGCTTCCAGCTTGTACGTCTCGCGCTACGGCCAGACCGCGTGTATAACAAACGGGAACAAAAAACAACGGCGTTAGTGTCAAGGCGCCAAGGTTCTTTGGCAGAGAGAGAGGGAGAGAGAGAGAGAGAGAGAGTGAGTGAGTGAGAGTAATGGTACATGTTGATCCCCGTCGTTCTTTTCGATAGAGAGAGAGAGAGAGAGAAAATGAGAAAGTGAGAGAGAAAAGAAAGAGAGAGAGGATCAGGAGGACTGGTCTCTCTCTCGTATCCGCAACGCCCTGTCTGTCTCGTCTTTTCGCCGCATTACAGCGAACGCCAAAACACCACCAACGCCTGGAACGTGGTACGGCGAGTGTGGTCTCGCATATTATGTGTTTGCGCGCACCCTCTCGCCGATTTGCTCTCTCGGCTGGGGACTATAGCGAAAGTTCGCGCGATAATTGGGTTGCGCGCTGCTCGGGCACGCAGCGGCCAGGTGGCTGAGCGAGCTCTTGTGGGGGCACACTAGCAGTGTGATGGACGACCGACGCTCCGCAACCTGCATTCTGCGCGTGAATATCCGTATCGCGAGAAGGCACCAGGATCTCTCGCTTACATCCCCGTCTAATAAACCTATACGAATGAGCACGATAGAAGCGCCTGTAGGTCACCGCTCCGCTTTCCCGCGTTCGCACAGTTCTAGTTGTTACGTTATATCCGCTACGATCCGCTCGCGGCGATCGCTGCGTCCTGCGAATCTTTGGAGAAGCACGGTTCCTCTGTTGCTCTTCTTCACGCCGGGGAAGAGGTCGGTCTCTTCGGCTTTCGAGTGGAGTAAGTCTCGAGCGCGCTGACACTCGTGAGAATCTCACGAACTATCACTAGTGCTCTGTAGGCTAAGAGATACATCGTTTAGTGCAAATTATCTCATGCATCGCGTTAAATATTTGGGTAATACGAGATGATAGATTTAAAATAGCGAGCCAAAGAGTTGTCAAAGTACTGATCATCTGAGGCGAGTTTTGAGGTGAAATTTTCATCGTACGACTCTGTTCGTGTTCTTATAAATTCTCAAGAGATTTCGCAAAGTGCTTTCTTTGAGATTGATGGAAGCATTTCAGCGCTCGAAAAGCAATAAAGATAACGCAATGGGCTAAGAGCGCGATTATAGCATTCGATAATGCTGTAGAGCAGTTAGCTCTAAAGCTACAACTACGGTATACGTTAATTTACGATATTCAAGACTTACTCGACTTGCAAGCCGAGAGGCATCGATCATTTTCGAATGATTCTCGCCCGATCGAACACTCGCTGTCTCCAAATATCGTCGAAGAACGATCGCCGCGGCTCGCTACAGTACATATTGGGAAGAGATAGTGGTAGTAGTAGAATAATAGTAATAGTAGTAGTTGTAGTAGTAGTAGTAGGAGAAGGAGAGTGTCCGCCATTCAGCGATCTACCGCGCCGCGCTTAACCATAAGTGCTTCCGCATCCAGAGAAAGAAAGAAAATAGTGTGTGTCCAATGTCTCTGTGTCTAAAGAGATAAATAAACTTAGAGATATACTAAAAAGCCAACACGAAATAAAGAAAACACTTTGTAATAGAAATAGAAAGAGAGAGAGTAAGAGTATAAAATAGAATAAAACACGAAGAGTAAAGGTTGAGGCAAAGACGTAGATAGAGAAGAAAGGGAGGAGGGAAGTAGAGAACATGTGGCATACCGGAAACGGATGAAAGGAATTATTGGGACGGAGGATACTCAGGAGAACGAGTGATCAAGAGAGAAAGAACACAAAAGACAATGTAAGAGTCAGATAAAAAAAAGAGGTCAATAGATAAATAGGAGAGGCAGAGCACTGCATGGCACGGCACGGCATGTCACGTGTCTTGTCTCGGTCATGTCGTGGCATACAAACCTGGCTTTCACCGACGTCACTACAGTACCCACTGTGACATTTTCTTTGATGTGAATGGGGCCGTATACATTCGCATCCCACACAGGTGGTTTATTGTTTCTGTCTACGACGTCTAACTCAACGTCCACGTCTGCGGACAAGACTGGCATCCCTCTGTCGGAGGCCCGTACTCGCAGGCGATAGCTGTCACGCTAGTGGCAAAACATTGGGCCGTCAACTTATAGGACACTGTTTTTCGGGAATTTTGTTGGCGTTTCTTTTTTTGTTTTCGATTTTGTGATTTTTGTTTCCGTTGCGTCACTTTACTTTCTATTCGTTTTCCCGACGCGTCTTTTCCGTCGGAGTTTATGAAAGAGCTAAAGGCGTCACTCGGCGTCGAGCGCGTCCACATGATCACGTGAGAGAGAGAGAGAGAGAGAGAGAGAGAGAGAGAGAGAGAGAGAGANCGAAAGTACCGGTTTTTATGCTTTTTTTCGCGAGCGAAATTAAAATAGAAAGAAGAAGAGAAAGACAAACCAGAGAGATAGACGGAAAGAAAAACAGAGAGATAGGACCGTGCAGTCTCGTAGGTATCCTGGTGGACTTCATCCGTTGCGTGTTATCTCGGTAGTGTGATAGACTCGCTGTCTTCGTTAGCAGACGAATCTATAATTTCCGTAATGTGAGCTTTCTTCGGTTACGTAATGAAGGTGCGCCGTTTACAAGCACAAAATTTACTGCAATGAACTCAAACATGCCGTGAGGTGGACCTTTCGTGAATGAATAGTTGCGACATATAGCGGCGTGGTGATGAAGATGATGATGTGTAGTCTACATCGCCGACCTCTGTTGTTGATTCGCAAGGAAGCGGCAGTAACATCGAAACAAACATGGGCAATTAGTAATCAAATTTATAGGTGGAGGTTGTGAAAAACGTAAGCAAATGTAGACGATGTAGTTGTCGTGATATACTTACCTGCCGAACAAATATATGCTTGCATATTTGAGCTCATTGCTAATACTAATCGCGTTAGTTGTTTGACGCGTGAACAAATGCTTCCGACTATGTGCATTTGCATATTTGATTCGCATCGATTTTGTGCCAATAGAAATGCTCTCGTAACATTGTGTATTAGATATCAGATTGTTAAAATTACCTTTGTGTAACGAAAGCAAAGTGCAAGTACAAGAACGATGCTCGCATCAGATGTATCAGGACTAATAATTGTATTAGATTTATGCTGTCATCCGAGATAACACGAAAGCGGAGGATGTATTAGATGTTTCAGAACTATCATTGCTTTTTTCATTTGTAAATTCCTTGATACGTTTATATTTACTATTAAGAGCGTTGATGCTAATATTTGCTTTAAATTTTAAAGACTGTATTCAAACAATGTCCGTTTGAGATTAATTTAAGAGAGAATAAAATCTGTAATTTACAAGTCGTAAAATTTAATATGTAAATATTCATTTTTGTCGTTTATAATTCAGAAATCAGTGACATCATAAATTCTCATTGAAACACATTATGTTTCGGCGGGATCGAAGAAATCGCATAGTTGTAATAATAATAATTCTGAAGCATCCAGTATAAAGTAACAGCGGGTGAACGATATTTCAAAATAAACCAAATTAAAAAAATTGAGATATAAAAGTTTGTGTATCATGGAAAGTATAATGATCAATTGAATAAGTTCAATTCAATGAAAACGCGATTAATAAGTGAACTTTTAATTTAGAAACCTTAATGTTTAGCCCGTTAATTTTGTATACTTTAATCCTATTCAACCGCTGATCATATAAGGTAATACAATAACATCGCGATTAATGTTAGTAAAAGCGTTGTATCACGATAGTTATTCGACAAAAGAGTCTACAAACGTCGTCCTTCGTTTCCAAGTGAACACTTTTGCGAATGTTTGTTTATAATCGGGATCTTGCTACATCATAATATTTCTAGTAACGAGAACTACGGGCTTCCTGGAACATTAAAAGTAATTATTGAAGCTGTTCCAGTCACGGAACCAGATCCCTATAGAGCATTCGATATCCAACGGACGTTTATCAAATGGATACATGTAAAACAAACGCACGTTTTACTTGCGATTCTGTTAAAAGACACACTGATTTATACTTAAACGAAGCACGGCTACGTGAAGTACTATTAACAGTGCTGTGCTACTAATACAGAGTGAGACATAAGAATATATGTAACGTGATTTCAGCAAGGCGGGTCATGTTTAGTGTAAAATCAAATCAAATCAACCGATATTAATCAACGTAAAGTTAACGTAAAATCTGAATTTAACGCATCGTTATTAAATTTATCGTTTAAAAATTAATCTATTCAAGCTTTTCAATCTGCAAAGTTAATTTTCACGTTGGCGTAATCTTTAAGATCTAATCTCCATAAGAAAATAGGATTTTCTAAATTCTAATAGAATACGGGAGACGTTGAAACTTTCAGTGGTTTTAGTTATTATGATCTACTTGTCAGACGTCCGTCGGATATCCAGCACCACGTGGGAACAGATTGACAGGAGTGTTACCGGCAGTGCGAGATATCGGTAAAGAAAAAACATATTTCGCTTACGGATACATACGAGACTAGGACGAGAGAACGAAAATAGACAGCGCGACAGCACGTGTGTATGTACATAAAAAATACATCGCGTTTGATAGAAAATTTCGAACAGAAACACTCGAGAAGAGACGATTAGATATAGATAGAAAGACTTTTAGAAATTTAGCGATACAAAGATAGAGACAGAGCAGTGTAGAAAGAGAGAGAAAGAGAGCAAGAGAGCAAGATAGATAACGAGAGAGAGAAAGAGAGAAAAGTTGAAAGAGAGTGACGTCTCCGAGTGACAACAATAACAACAACAGAGGCGAAAAATCATCGAAACGATATAATGTTGAATAATCGAACGGAAAGGCGCTCTAGTATTTGCAACGAATATTATACTTTTTTTTTGCGCAGGTATAACAATGCTGTCACATCATAATGTGTCTCGATGCAAGGTGTGAAACACAAGAATATAGATCCTACTTACTGGAAAACAGCCCTTTTTTTTGTCATCATCAAATCCGAAGAAAGTAAATGGTGCAATGAACACAAACATAAACAATAAGAAGTTCAAATTAGTTCCTTTACGAAATCAACCAATGCAGGCATTTTGCATGCAAGCGAGAATGCGTTAAAGAGGCATCAGGAAACGATGATTGAGGAAGAGAAAGATAGAGGGACAAGGATTGATGACTTGAGGGAAGGATTGAGAGATTAAGAGGGGTAGGAGAAAAAAAAAACTATGACGACCCCTCGTCTGATTCGTTTTAACGACACTCAAAAACCGATGGACGTTATTTCTGATCGTCGTGATAATTAATCCGCACGTTTTCGACTTTTCTTTCATTCCGTGATTATTTCCGTTCATATTCATTCGTTTTCTTCCCGTTTTCGTCACGACAGTGGTATGCCGCCCCAATCACAGAAGAAAAAATGTCACACCACGGACAGTTCTCTTACGATCTATGTACATATGTATGCATATATACACATGTCTATACATTGGCATAACGCTCTCGATCAAAAATGCTTTTCGTGTTCTTTTCCTTTTCTTTGTCAGTCACGTCGTGTTACACTGGGAGAGCGGGATGAAAATCGGGAAACATCAAAGAGAAAGTGAAGAGAAATAATTAGTAAAAAGTAAGAAGACGAAAATAAATATAAATGAAATAAATTTGAAAAATACAATAGTCGATAACGCAGGCAAATACGAATAGATAAGGAAACTTAAAGAAAAATAATCAACATAGCAAAATCAGTAAGAGAGATCGGGCAAAAATATTCGAAAAAGTAACTATCGACATAACAGAAAAACACAAAATGCAACACACGAAAAATTCATTGAATTTTTAATAATACGAAAACAAAAGAGATTCTTCAAAACAGGTGTAGAAAAAGAGAAAAAAGAATCAGAAGGAGAGAGAGAGAGAGAGAGAGAGAGAGAGAGAGAGAGAGAGAGAGAGAGAAATAGAGAGCAAGGATGGATGTAGGAGTGAGAGCGAGATCCGTTCCTGTAAAGGAATCAAAAACACATTCATATAAAATATCCAAGCATTGTCAAAAATTGTTTATGTCTGATGCACCACAAAATGCGTAGAGGTTGAAGTACACCGTACGTGGGGCTCAAAAAATGTCGTTCCCACCTGCTCCTGGAAGTTCAAAAAACATCACTTCCCTTTTGAAAAACATTCACAATTAGTAATGTTAGTTGAACAATTAAAGATCATTAGTTTGCTCCGAACGTTTCCCTTTCTTTTGTCATATCTCTTATATATCATCATTTTCATCATTGTCTTTCCTCTCCAATTGCTTTCCCGTTAAATTCTCCAACGCGTAACGTACAAAAATCGTATACATCCTTTTCTTGGCTACTTTTAGAAAAAGTATGAAAAGTGCACACGCTCGCGTTTGGTCGGCCGTGCGCGCGCACGTTCGGGCCGATCCGCACACATTATCTTTTTCTTTCTTTTCTTTTTGTCTTTTTGCAAAATTACACGTCGGCATTTGCAACTCGCCAAATCGATCGAAAATCATGATTAGCATCGCGGCACAAAACGAACGACGAACAAAGGAAATCTAAGTGAAGATAAAAAGAAGGACGGAAACGAAAAGCTATATATACGCGCGCGTGATTTGTTCGACCGCTCATCTATATGTAACTGGACAAAACCGATTCTCGACGAAAAGTGAATGAGAAAAACTGGACAAGAGGTATCAAAGCTTCGTTTGGAATCGTTTAAAAAGGTACTCGCGCCGCGAGTATGTTCTCAATAGAGAGAATGAGAGAGACAGAGAGAGAGTGTTTTGTTGCAAAAATAGCCCGAACGGTCGATCGATTCAGGTACATGAAGCGTTTGAGGAAATCAGGCATAGCTAAGTATTTACCATAGTGAACACATTGTGCATATCAATGGGAATTAAAAAGTTCTATACATGTGCCGTAAAAAGGAAACTCATTTCGTTGCATATTAGTGATGAGAGAAATAATTGCCGACCAAACGTATATTAGTATACAAGTTTATCCGCTCAGCAACAAAACGGATTCGTGTTTAAATATAACGTAATTCAACGCAAACGTACAATATATCGGCAGAAGGTGTACACTCAAGTTTTGTATTTATACGATATCATATATATATATAGATATATATACGTATATATAAATAGATATAGTATACTACGCAACCTACACATTCCTGGGACACGCGACACTTGTTTCGGGACGAGTGCATCCGCAGGATCTCGTATTTAAAGAGATGTCAGCGATTAACACGCAACAGCGTTCAATTTCCGTGACGTTTTTGCTTCGCGGAATATTCACTAATTTATATAATCGCCGTGATTTCCGTCCGGTTTCGAGGTAATATCGAGTGTATCATAATACGTCAAGAGCAAAAAGAAGCCAGCAAGCCGCAAAGAAAAATGCAAGCCTCGCCCACGAAAAAGTGGGAGTGTTCCAGGAAACGATGCTGTCCATACTGCTAAAGAGAGACGATATGTAGATTAGCGATTTTATGGGGATACTTACGTCTAGAGGTTTCTTTAACACGATCCAACCAGACTCTGGTTGAATCTCAAAGTACTCCAGACCCTGGTCATTGTTCGGCGAGCTCAGCGTGTACGTGATCGCGCCATTGTTGTCAGCATCCTCGTCGGATGCCGACACTCTCAGAATGTTCGTGCCGATGCTCGCGTCCTGCTTCACGTTCTCCACGTATCTCTGCGAAAGAAGGACGAAATGCGATTCTTCTTGAAACTCGTACGGTCTCTCGATCCGATGGATCGATATTGTGCCTATATGTTTCGTAAGATATTCAACCGGGCAGTGCGCCTTGCATAAGTTTACATCCGGACTTTGTCAGATTACAAATTAGACGTTAGCGAGCCAAATTACAGGGGATGATAATTGATAATGCGAGACTTTGGCAACCTCCTATTAAAGTTGGTTGATTTTATTCAGAAAGGATATTAATTCGAAACTTCTTGGATATTATGGCTGGCAATTCAAATTCTTTTCAAGCGCTGTTGCTAAGTTTACAAGAATGTGTTTTTCAAGTTTGATGCTAGCCTTGCAACACATCCTATATATCTTGCAATATACATTCCGAGCACAGAAGTGGACCAGAGCCCATAATTTATGAGATTCACCTTATGTTCTTCGTGTTCCTGGTGTACTTCATAAATTATGGGCTTGTTCCACTTGCACTTTGACCTCTTCGCGTATATATTTAATCGATACATGGACAACGGCGCGCACACACGAAAAGTGTGTATATCTTAATTGAGCAAACAACGGAACTAGCCCAAAGTAACTGGAGACATTGCATATATTCTCGAGTTACGTTCGTCGAGGCGTAACACACTAACTAACACCGGTGGTAATTTTGCCACGCTCGATCATACTTCCGGACATCTGCTCCGCGCGTTTCTACCTCGAATAGCCCCCTGAGCGTTTGCCTTTGGGGTCTGGCCGAATATACGCACCTGACGGTCGAACAACGGCGGATTGTCGTTCACGTCGGTTATTTCGACGGTAAACGAGCAAACACCTTCCAGCGAGGGTTCACCCTGATCCGTCGCCTTGACAGTGACAGATACGAATTTTCCATCGTCGCCTTCGCGATCGAACACCTGAAAGTAACACCGCGTCTGTTAGAATGGTTGTCTTCAAACTTTCGCCGAGTCAGAGTAGCTTACAGAAATAATATCAAAAAAACGATAGTAACGAAAGTTCTTTTTCGATGTAATAAAAGTTATCCTCAATATGAGTTGTATCAGTGATAATCGATACGGTGAAATTAACGACTTTACGAGAGTTGTTAAATTTTCAAAGAGTCGCAAAAATATGACATATATTCTGATACTTTACGTTGGCACTTAACTATCAGAAAAGTATGTCTAATGTTCTCTTTCTTTCACCTGCTTAGTGCAACAAGACAGATCTAAAAAATTAAAAATGATAGAAACACATTTGAAAAAGAAAAGAAAAAATAACAGGATATTCTATTGTAAAAAGTGTATAGTTGTATAACGCTAATATCTTATTGTCAGCGATCTGTATGGAGTCATGACACGAACGAATAGTAATTAGGGTGTTAAGTGACCTGCGTGTTTATCGGTCGGTCTGCTCTACGATATGTATAAAAGATGAAATGGCAACATGGTAGAAACTAAGGCTCGAGTGATTGTTACATATTTTCTAATGTTCTCGGAATTATAAATGAACTTTTCATTGCACGAGTCGCTTTATCTTTCCATGTCGATACATTCCGATAAAGCGAATACAATTCTTACGACTCCATTAAAAATGGACTTTATCGACGAGTCGGGCATAAAAACTTTCGCCGAGTTAGGCGAAAAGTTATTAAAGGTAAGCTCTCGTTTATATCTCGCGTAGAAATATTCATATAAAGATATGAGAATCTTCGTATCGAGAATATAAAGGCCACTTTAGACGATTTATAATTCGCGGTGAAATTAAGGGCAGGAGCTTATTTATAATTTTACGTGTCGTGTAAAATACAGAAAACATTTATAGTCACATTGTATATATTTTACATACACGCATCAATAAATAAAAATCTGATCCCTAAAATATCCCTTTATAAATGGAATTCTGCGTCGAATTTTGTTAAATTATAAATCGCTTCAAGTGGGCTCAATATAACGTACCGGATATAAAGCGTTAAAACTACTATTATATTATGTTACTATGAAAATAGTCGGTAAAAGTACCTTGTTAGTCAAGACCTGACCGGTCTCCTCGTCAACGGTGAACTTGGTGCCCTTTTGATTGGGTTGTTGCACGATCGAATACTTGACTTGTCCATTAACACCCTTGTCCTCGTCCGTGGCCTGCACTTTGATGACCGTGCTGCCATTCGGCGCACCTTCCTCCACTTTCGGGTAATACATTCCGCAATCCTTGAAGACCGGTTTGTTATCGTTCACGTCGGTGATGAACACCACGACGACTGCGGTGCTGGTGTGAATGGTGGTGTCGCCATTCGGGCAGCACGCGCCGTCATCCAAGGCGGTGACGTTCAGCTCGTACTTGTCGCGATCCAAAGAGATCTCCTTGCCATGGAGACGGATCACACCGGTGATTTCCTCGATTACGAACTGTCCGGATGTGGTGTTGCCGCCGACGAAGCGGAACCGCACGTTGTCGCCGTCCTTATCGGAGGCGACCACTGTGGTGACCAAAGTGTTCGGTCCGGCGTTCTCGTCGACATTGGGCGTGTAAACCTGCTGCGAGAATTTCGGCTCCTCGTCGTTTTTATTTTTTGTGTATATCCGCACCGTCGCCGTGCCGGTTTTCGACGGCTCGCCTGGAAAGCAAGCTCGTTGTAATTCTCTCGTTTTTATTGTTCTTATTAATGTATATGAAACCATATAATTTTTTATATTTTTTGGAAATATTTTAGTCAACCTATACGACAGGCGTAATTTTTTTTTCTCTCAACTTTCTAAATTAAAAATTAACAATAGCGATAGACCGAATCGCGGCAGGTACGTATAGTTATTTTTAAATAAAAATTCAATCCACCAGATATGAATTACGAATGCAACAATAACGATATTGATTTAAACGTTACGAATCGCATTTGTATTATATTAATCTAAATTATCGAATTGGGAATGTTACGCATACCGGACGATATGTACCCGCGACGTCAAATTTCGCAATATGAAGTGCGCGCATGAACGCGCAATAAATAAAAGCGCACCTGCGTTATTGCCGATTCGACCGCTTTATTTCCAATTAAGCCGCGACTTGTTCGGGAACCCGGTCGCATTTGCGCCGTATATATGCAAATAACACAAATTCCCGTCTACGGATGTGAGCTTTATCCCGTGCGGCGCGAGATGCAGGGATTTGGAGCTCGTTTGAAAACCAAATCCGTGAGATTTAGTTGCTGAGGCTGATCCTTGGCTTGCTGACAGAACGTAAAGGGACGACCGATCTCTGCTTTTCTACGTGACCAAATCTTCGAGTAACACGAGCGCGTCGACTTTAGGGTATCTGAATTCTTAAAGCGGAGAGCGGATATCGAAAAGTCGTAGGCAGTCATCCGCGAATTCGATGCGAGATAAATAATGTTCCGTGAAATAAAATCAAATAAACGCGTTAAAACGTACCGCGAGTCGATTACGATTACGAATGAAGAAAAAAAAATGTATCGAGATTGTTCCATTTGTGCGATGAATAAAATCGTGCATCTCGTTCTCCGATCATTTCACAGTTTGTACGCATATTTCATTATTATCATTTCTTTTTTCTTGTTTTTTTTTAACGATATCGAGTTACGCGTTTTACGTAATCCGTCTGTATGTATTCGATCGTGATTACCTGTTGTCATAGCTTACCCTTGTCCTTAGCAGTGACGATGAATTCGTAGTATGCATTATTGTTGTCCGCATCGAGTTGCTTGTTATTGACAATAATACCGTTGGAGTCTACGCTAAAGTGATCGTCGGACACTAGATATTCTATTTCCGCGTTCACCCCCGAATCAGCGTCGGTTGCCTTGACTCTCAATATATTCGTCCCCAGAGAGACATCCTCGTCGACGTTGTGAGCTTGATAATCCGGCAGCTCGAACTTGGGCGCATTATCGTTCACGTCGGATACTCGGATTGTTAGCTAAAAAAATAAAATTATAATAAGCGCCGAAACGTTGGTTCACGGAAATGACTTGTTAAATTATTACGCTCAACAAGTAACGGGAAAACCGTGCGTTTACGGGGAAACTTGAGTGGTGCCGTATTTTCCGACGAGAAGAGAATTGTTATTCTTCGTCGAGACAACAAAGTTCGCAAACATAAATCCAGTTATACCTCGACCGACGTCGAGAAACCACCGGAGTCCTCCGTCGCTGTCACTATCAGAGAATAAATGTGGGGTTGCCTTAGATCCTCAAAATCCAGTTCTTTCGCAAGTTTCACGATTCCAGAAGTCGGCCCGATGTTGAATGTTCCTGCGGCTCCTTGACCTTGCGCTTTCAGCGTATAGCGTATCTCCCGATCGGCAAACGACTTGGCTTTCACCGATATTATGCTGAAAAGTTTTTAACACGTGACACGTGGCACGAACATCCCCCTCGAACTTGATAGAAATCGGGGAATAAGCAAACGCATGGCGTTGTCGCGTGAAAATAATTTCACCGAATTCAAATCGAATTTCCGAAGGGAGAGTCAACTTAACCCGAAAGACAAGCAATTCCGAAGAGTAAACCGAATCGAAGTCAAACAGTTACGATGTTCAACCGCGAGCAATCCTGTGATAATAATTAATATCGTTAGGCATCGGGTCAACATGCAAATAAAAGTGTATTGGCAGATTCAACACGAAAAAGTAATCGCGAAAAAATAGGCAAATGCGATATTAATTTATTTCATTTGGATCTTGAAGGAACGATAGCTTTTGAGAAAAGACTATTTTGCATAAAACATTAAAATTTTTTTACTCTTTTCTTTGCATTTTTTATTTGTTATTTAGCGTTTTTACGAATAGATTGCCAAAGATCTACGCTTTTTTGACGGAAAAATTTTATATAATTCGTGCGATATCGGAAGAGTGCAGAATCATGAACATTCCGTTTTTTATTTTCTTGTAAGCTTGCCAAAGAAGGTTAAATATCAAAAGCGGTCCGTTCAAAAGAAAAGTTCTTGCAAAGTGTTTTCTCAGAAATTAACATTTTCTTTTAAACAAATACAGACCGGAATCTCCGAAAGGGTTAAGTGGCTATTAGTATGGACTTGCGAACTAACTCGGAGTCTTTCTTCTGGTTTTCCGGTATCTCGGCCTCGTACGCCGTCATATAGAACTGCGGTGCGCGTTTTCCACCGACGATCGATAGTCTCTCCTCAGGAGTCGACTGGAAACGCCTCTCGTCGATACGGCCGTTCTGATCCTCAGCTTTCACGTAAAGGACGTACTCCATATCCAACTGAAAGAGGTCGGTACCTCGAGTACGTACCACCCCCGATCTCTCGTCGACCTCAAAGCGGCCGCCAGCTGCGTGCATAGTAGATAATTAATTAATTAATTGATTAAGAGAACCGTTGGGATGCGTTATATCCGCGAACCTCACCACTAAAGATCTCACGAGAGCTTGACACATCGCGGTGGGAACCCTATCATGATTCCTAGCTTAAGATCGCATCACTAGTTCACGAGGCGAACCTAATAATCGCGAAAGTGAGTTTATAGCTCGCAGCAATACTCGAGACTGTCTACCTATTAAAATTTACGAAGTGTTTCATTATAACCAAATTTCTTTATATTTTTATGTTTTTTTATGTGTACCAGGATTACGAGTATATGTTATACTTGAATTGAAGATAATCGTAACCGAGAGACGTTTTCACACGAATTCAAAAATTCCTGCTAAATCTGCGAACGGTGTATGAGTGCGTAGATTTGTCGAGAATCAAAAGACAATTTTTAATTCAACCGTTTGCAATGTTCGAAACCGCTTTTATTCGTCAGTTTAATGCAACGCGAGTCATCGTATTAATGGCGCCACGCGGAATCGCGGGTACACTTAATATCACGCGCAATAAAAATTGTTTACGACATAGAAACGCGATTGTCACAGCGATGTGTCCGACATAATGGCGTCATTACTATATAAGCCTGTAAATTGCGAAATATGATACTGGAGTCGACGTTGTAATCATCGGCTGCATTTTCGATGAGAACAATGCGCTATTTTACGTCGATGCGCGTGGATTAATAATTTGACTATACACGCGCGATCATTTTGCATGGTTCTACGTACGTTCATATGTACATTAAACTCAACACGTACACACCTATCTCCCATTGTAATTAATGAAACGCTATTGTTCGTATGAACGGAACATTTTCCCGCCAAATGAAAAATTCAACACTACAATCGATCGACATTTCACTTACACAAATGAGGCAATCAGTCTTTCTAATTGGAAGTAATTAAGCATTTGTCACGCTTCTCATATCTCATTTTTCTGCCAATATGAAAATTAATAGCACGATGTGTGTGTGTGCGATAAAGCGATTAATTATTCGCTTTATTGTGCACTGATCATTATTTCAAAAAGGATATCGATACAAAGCACCGATATTATTTCTTCAAAATATGCGCTTTTGCGCCTTTTTAAGCTACTAATTAATTAAATCGGATCATTACGACCAGTTGGTAGCGAGTAATTGGTACGTTTTTGACCAAAATAAAGCCACAGAAAAGTAGAATTTTCCACAAATATTTTTAGTTTTGCAGCTTCGCGTTAAATTCCGGCATTTGAGAAAGTATCAATTACTCGTTAAAGCGGAAATATTGAATTTCGCGAAAAACGAACATCGTGCGGCGAGATGTATCGAAAAATACTGGTCTGCGCTTTTTAACCGCAATACTAAAAACAATTTCGTGCCGATATTTCCGGCTTAAATGAACCGACCGTACCTGTTCGACTGTCTCCACAATTATCAGGTTTCTAGGGAGGATTAAGTGTCCCGCGCGCACATTATGTTTTATCCTTTCACGCGTCGCCATTAATCACATTACTTATCATATTACATATCACCGACGTTACTGCGCAGCGTCAGCGTTAATGCTCGAAATATCGAGTCTCGATTACCCGCGCTATTACATACTTCGATCTCGCACGATGAAGTAATGGATGTTGTGGTCGGTGTCAGGATCCCTTGCCTGAAGGGTGAACACGTGAGTGTTCGGCGGTGCGTTCAGCTGAACGACCGTTTGCATCGGTAGAGGCCGGTTAATGAAATACGGAGGCTCGTCGTTCACATCCTTCATGTTGATGATGACGCGCTGATTGTCGGTATCTATAACATCACATCGATAATCGTGTTTACGTAGCAGCCGCGGGGATCTTAACAATAGGGAACAACGTAGCTGTTGCGATACGCCGCTCGCGCCTTCCTGGATTTTTGAACGGCACTGTCAAGTTCTTCTCGGCCGCTCTTTTCATTTATTTTTTTTTTCTTTTTTTACATAGTGCCTCGAGAGTAACGACTTTGAGATGGATGTGAATTTATGATGGCAAATAATCATGTAGAATTAAATTATACGTATAATTATTTCGTCATATTACATTTCACATAATTACGTCGGAAGAGATTTAATTGTACGAATTCTATATCTCCTCGCGTATCGCTGATATTTAATTACGTTCTTTTCAAAATGTGAGATTCAATTAGAATTTAACGGTATGTCTTTTTGATGCGCGGACATACATCCTTTTTCAATTTTCAATTTCATTCGCGAGTGACGTCCGCAGCGATTTGTTCCGTGTGCTTTAAAATACTACGGAAAGCGTGTAAGCAAGAAAAAGATGCTTTTACAGTGAGATCAGTTTATATGTATGAGAGATATGGAAATGCGATATGAAAAACCTCGCTGAAAAGCATGTTTTAATATGCAATCTATATGTTTGTCATTATACAAATGAACGATACGCTTTGCTACTTACATTGAAATCCTTTGGAAGCCGTTGATGCGAGAAAAGAGAATAATCACAATTAATACATATGCATGAAAACGCTTTTATACCTCGCTAACAAATACGGCAACAAATATTTCATATTTTTAATAAACAAATCGATAATATGTATAGTCAAAGTCGTTTGGAACTTTGAAAACAAAAGAACGATTTTCTTTTATATAATTATTGATTAAAATTAATTTACGTCATGATTAATAAAATATGAAAACGTGCGCGGACGATCGAAAGCGTATATTCGTTTGTTCACAAAAAATTGATTTACAAACGTTGTCACGGGAGTATCAGTTGTCTTCAAATGTTTTTTGTCGTACATATATGTATAATCTCCAATTTCATTGCGAATCTTGTTATTCGATATCGATATCCAAATCCATGTTTATCCCTACGAAAGCGAGAAATTCTACATCCCTTAAATAAAATCCCAAGAATATATAGGATGAATCAGAGAGAAGCGTGACTGTGTAACAGGAAAGAGCCATGAAATGTGCCGATCGAGACTACATATTCCAGGCAATACTTATCGAAATGAAACTGTACCGTCATAGTAAAACGGGCACTTGAAACCGGGTGGATATCGCGCGCACGGATCTTCATATGTGGAGCACCGGCAAATAAAAATTAGTTAAACAATATAATATAAAGACTGTACACTGTTAACTATATATCGTCAAAGTTGGAGGTATACGTTGAAATAAAAACCGTACGTAATTACGAGGGACATTTCGAGATACGTACCACAAATTTAGAGATACTACGCAATAGTACTTTCAAATTTGGAAGTACGTAACGTCGTAGTATCTCCAGACGGGAGATACGTACCTCGAAATGTCCTTCGTAATAATTACGTAGGGCTTTTATTTCAACGTATACCTCCAACTTTGGCGATACATGGTTAACAGTGTAGGAAAACTTGGAATACTATCAGAATAAGAAAACAAAAGCGCAATATTACGTAAAAGAAAAATCGTATGAAATGCAATTTCTCCGTTTAAAACAAAATTCGTTTAAAACAAAATTCTCCGTAAGAACGTAAATTAATAAAAATTAGCTTTAATTAACAAGTTACTGAAAGAGAGAAAACAGAACGCTACAACCCGTGTTCAACGACGAGAAGTCGAGATTATAAATTGAAAAATCTACAGATAAAATTCGCGGTAATTCACTCCAGTATCGTGAATGTTCTCGTTTACCTGTATTCGTGATGGTAACCCAAAAATCGATAGTTTTTTCGGGACCCAGTTCCTCGTAGTCCCACTTCTGCTTGACCATGACAGACCCGTTGGCGCCGACGGTGACCCACTTGTTTTCGTCCCTTATCTTGTATGTTTCCTTCTCGTTCTCCTTCTCGAGGTAAAACGCGATCTTACCCTCGATATTTCCGTCCGCCTCCGTGAAATCGACCTTCTTCGTAGGTCGCACCGCTCTAGTGACTCTTCGCTTTTGTATCCGGTGCACTTCCGGCTGGTCCTCCGGTTCCGAGGTGAGGAATCTCACGATCACCTTGGCCGGTTTTTCAGTGCTGCGACTCGGCGTGCGTAGGTCGTGCGCTTCGACAACCAGCTCGCACTCGCTGTCTTGTTCCGCGTTGATTTCCGGCTCGCCGGCCAACAGTAGCTCGCCGGTCTGAGGCACGACGATCAGCAGGCTGCTAGGCGTGACCAATTTATACGCGACCTTGTCCCCGTCCGCGTCCTTAGCCGTGACCTTGCCCACGGTGGAGAACCTCTTCCAGCCGGGTAACGCTGCGTTGCCTTTGCGCAGAGTGTCCAAATTCGTCGGTCTTATCTCGAAGATGTAGAGCTCGCGCTCGAAGATTGGGCTGTTGTCGTTCTGGTCGAGCACGTGAACGACGCCACTGATCTTCGACGTGCTGATGAAGTTGCCGTCGGACGCGTGTATCACGACGGTGTAGATCCCACGGACCTCACGATCCAACGGTTTAGCACTCACCACTCTGACGCCTTGCTTTTGGCTCTTCAGTGTAAGATTGAAGCCGGTATCGTTGGACTCGTTCTCCCGAAGAGCGAAAGGACGTTCCCCGCTGTCGTCCGGTAAGATCTTGTAGTGCACCGGGAAACTGCCACGCGCTCGTAGAACTGGGAAACCATCTATCCAAGTTCCAGCCGGCGAGTTTTCCGGCACTTCGCCTTCGCCTAGACGGTCGTGCGAGAAGGTGAGCATATTCCGGCGATTGATGACGTAGAGATGAAGGTCGTGGGTCTCGGTGCCGTTGGCCAGCTCCTCCAAGACGACCAGGTTCACCGGTCGATCCACCAGCGGCGTCAGGTCCGATGTCGTCATCACCAGACCGTTGCCCAACACGGTGAAGTACTTGGAGAAGCCGGTCTCCAGCAGGCGAAAGTTGGAGGCGCGCCTCGCGTCGCCCCGGAATTGCGTCACCTCGTAACCGGGATGGACATCGTGCGGCAGCACGGCCACCTTGGCGTAGACGACGGAAGTGACTGCCAGTAGGAAGACGACGACCCGTGTTCGCCACATCCTGCTCTGCTTGTGCTACTCGCCCGCTCTCTCGCGCTCTCGGTACGCCGGTACCTTTACTAGAGCATCAGTGCTGACGCCAACTGAAAGTAGGTGACAGAGAAAATTATTGACTAAGGGGGTGAGAAACATGCGATAGTTTAGCGCGAAAATTATGTATTTGCGTCGCACTCGACTGAGGCAGTCCATCGGCAGTCGTGATGTGGAGAGGAATGTGGAAATGAAAGTTAACGAATTATTTAGATTGGCGTTAGGATGTCACTGCATAGAAAAAAGTGTTTCTTTAGATTTACTATACGTGTTTGTTTGACTTGAGTTTGTTTAATATAAACAACATAATTTAATATCATATATCAGTTTATTTAAATAAGTGTGATATTATAAGTGTAACGTGAGAAATGTGGGCACATTTTACTCTTGTACATAATTTATTTGTTTATTATTCTACTGGAGTATCTAATAACGTGTGTGCATTCATTATTATCCGTGTGCACAAGTTGTCGTTAACTTAATAAAATGTTAGCTTCAACGCTAGCGAGAGGTATTATTTAATAACTGAATTTCTCTCTCTCTCTCTCTCTCTCTCTCTCTCTCTCTCTTTCTCTCTCTTCCTCCTCTCTGCATCACACGCACATATATACACATAATGAAAATTAGTGCATGTGTAATAGTGATATAATAATTATTATTATTAACGTTTTAATTAACGGTAGCTTAGAGAAAGATGTCACGATACTCCAGTAACAACATGTATACATAACAAATATGCATGTATACATGTATACATAACAAATATGCAGCACCATGAATTTATTGAAACTGCCGCATTGACATAATCATGATGGGCTCGTCGATGGCTAATGTCGGGCGTTTCCGGTGACTTTGTATGCATTTTCAATCATTCCATTCGGAATTTGAACAGGCGAGCCGTAAATTCATTACAAACACGCGTGAACAATTTATGTGCCTAGCTGTTGCGGCGGCATTTGTTCCCGTGTAATTACACGCCAGCTACGGTCGCAACGCGAGAAAGCCTTCGTGTAAAGTCATTAATGTGCCTCGCGCAAAAACCCATGATCCGTGCCACGTATTGGAAGCAACACAGCGATTTAACCTTAATTTTATTTTCCATCGAACACTCCCTATCCTCGATTAAGTTCTGCGTCCAACAGTGGCTTCCTGACGTAACTCGTTGCGAGAAATATCGAATGTTTCGTCGTTCGTCGTTTATCTCATACAAGTAGCAAAGGAATAAAGTACCGTTTGTTTTAACATCGAGTGTCGCGAGCCTATTGCGATATTGCTGTGATATCGCAATGTTATATTCAACATTTTATTTCACGATCCATTACTAGAAAAAATAATATTATATTAATTAACGTCGAAGTTAAGGACGAAACAAACTGTCCTGATTATATTTGACGGAAATTGCAATACCAAGATTGCATAAATTGACTTTCGAATTAGTCACGAAATGCATGGGACGCGTAATCGCGGTATATAAATAATTAAGCTCCTGTGAAATCTAATACAATCTCACATATATATCTTTCAGATGCGCGACTATCTTAATATTGCACTTTGTATTCAATTACTACGAGATTACCGTTATCATTCGCATAAAATCGGCATTACGCGAGTCGCTTACAATTTCGGCGTTATGATAATACCGCGGAAAGGGAGAAAGACGGCAATTCTCCGGGGATAAAGATACAAGCTGCATGTAAAACTGTGCAAATTGAGCCATATGCATGGTAATATATTGTGTTTATGGAAACGTCTAAAGCAAATTTCCCGGCGTGCAACGGTCATAACCTCAATTTTTACGACCTTGTGCGTACTTCTAATAACACACAGTAACATATATACATCTCTCGATTGTACTTCGCAAAAAATTGAATGCAGAGCGGACGGATCGAAAACTTAGTAATTTATTCTCAAATCACGGGATGTATAAAGAGATATATGTAACATAAAAAATTATGTTGGGTGATATGAAATGAAGTCGATCGTTCTTACATATATTTTCAATTTGTAACACATCCATTATATATATAAATATATAATACAATTTTATTTTTCATCAAAATTTGTTGAATTAAAATTTCCGAATTAAACATGTAAGATTGAATCTATCGTTGAATATAATCGAATCGTACTAAAATACGACAAGCAGCGCGCCTTTCGTTGTCATACGCTACGTAGGACGCGATGAACAATGTCCGCAACGTTGCACCGGAAATAAGAACCGGCGCGTACGAGTTGACCATTGTCATTTAGTAACCCTCCGTTCCATTTGATTCTATTCACGCCCCAAGAGAACCGGATGTGAGGTCAGCCGCGGCTCGTTTAAGTTCGAAACCGCTCCGGCAACCGTACGAAAAAGAAAAAAAAAAGGAAATACGCGAACATAACTGTCTTTGTAATATAGCGTGGTCGGAACATAACTCGCGATATTAAAGCGTGCACTCCCACCTCCGTTGCGTAATATTCGCGTTAAATAAGAAACGTGAATTTATGTTTTTAGCAGTTATCGTTTCCTGGATGAAATTTACACAGATTAAAAAAATTCAGATACGCGTAACAATCTTCAAAATGGAGGATTGTGATTAATTGAACTTTTTTTTTTAATCAGCACAGGAAGGTATACTAATTGATTAAGCGGTAATTATATCTGCAGAAAAGAATCGCATAATTACTTGCAGATCGTTCATTATATTAAAGTAAAAATAAATACGCAAGAAATATTGTTTTTTCTAAACCTACGGTCGAATTTTTAATGAGTCTTCCGCACGATCCGAAAACTACCTTGCCCATTGTTCAGTTCTCTCTCCCTCTATCTCTCTTGTACTTTCTGTCGCTCTTCTGCGGTACTTATTCTTTTATGACCCGATGTAGTTAGAGAGACATATAGTGTAATGTACTTCGGGGAGAGCACTCATTCGCTATTCCACCAACTGTTGCGTTAATAGCATATGAATTTTCCGCTATTGCACGCAACGGTAACAAGTTCGCATATGTCCCTTTGCACAGTGGCAGGAACTCCCAAGTATCTCTGTGCACACAAACCGCGTACTCGCAACAAGACAATACCACAGCCTGTTTTCAAGAACTCAATCCACCGCGCGGCAACTGTTCCCAACAACGTGCGGATCTCGCGTCGCCGGCAACCACCGCAACCAGTTCGCATAAGAGTTTGCAATCTGCCAGATATATCCCGGCAGCCTCTCGCGGTGTACGCATCCGAGAGGCCAATTCAAATCCAAAACGGGTCGCCGTCGCGAACTCGCGTTCAAGAGAAGTCTCGAAATCACCCGTTGGCGGCCATCGTTGAACTTTTCTCGCGAGCAGTTTTTCAACGCGCCACGTACGAGCGATAACCCTTAAACATAGCTGTTACTTCCCGAATAACGGAATAATTCGGGAAACGTCCGGACGTTCTTCGGGCTTGCGCGACCGAAATAGCGTTTGTTCGGTAACCATCCTCCTATGCATCGACATCGCGTTTCGATATTGAGTAACCCCGCTCGATACCTATTCGAGTCCCTTGAATGACTTCTTGACAACTGAATCGCGTCAGTAGCGGCGATACGTATTGAATTGACCCAGCATTATGTCATCCCTACCTATCAGTCGTGGCCTCTGCTCGCACACACTCGTCCAACCCGTTCATGCGCTCCCGCGCATAACGTCTCTTTCTCTCTCTCTCTCTCTCGCTCGTTCTCCGTTCTCTATCTCTCCCGACGCTCCCAATCTCCCAGTCATCTCCCCAGCGGTCCTCCTCGGCCTCGAAAAGTCGAGACCTCGAGTCTCTCGAAGGGACACAGGAGTCGAGAGCCCGCGGCCTGGGAGCAGATGCTCTGCCGGTCGCAAGCCTGCATTATACGGTTAAGTCGAACGAAACACGATACCTAATCCCTCCTCAAAACGTATTAAGTGACTGTCCTCAGCTGGAATAGCCAGAACCACCGGGCTCTCGAACACGGAAAACGATACGCATCGCGCGCTCTACGCGCCTCCGTTCAAAAGAAACTCGGCTTATTCCGCCACGCTGATCGTGCAGGATCGACGATGTACTCGCGGGTGTAATGCACCCACATGTGAAACCCTCTTTACCGAATCGCGCTCTCTATCTTTCTTTGGGAAACGGCCGTCTCGAATTTTTCTCATGAAGTAACGGGTTAATCGCCGCCGTCGGCAGGTGCCGTCTCCGCGCTTCATTTCTTTGGGAATATTTCTTTTAAACTGCTTGATTAAAAAGGAAGACATTTGTTTATGTCTCTCAGATTTGTAACAACTTAATGTTACGTCGTCGAAAAGTGTACTTCTATAGATTGTTAAAATAATGAAATAAAAGAAAATAATGAAAACATTATTTTAACAGGAACAACGCGAGCATGTGTCGTTTTAAAATTAAACGGGTGTAAATTCCAGTGAAAATTTATTTATTAATAACGACAGGAGAACGTGTCAAGTTAGATTTCAGGTTTTAGGATTTATATGAAGATCACATTATGCGCCAATATAGATAATAACGATAATTATCGAGATGATATCGAAACCGTAACGACTAATGTGAACCTGCTTTACGGTGGGATTTAATTTGAAAATGTTATTTGCGTGCTATCACGTATTCTTTAATTATCGATGATCGCGGATCAAAAATTAATTAATCATCTGCTTGTTCCGGTTCTCTCTGATCATGACGATACGGGATATAAAACATTTGTTATATTTATCTGAATCTTCAAATTAAAGATTGATAGCGCGAACTGAAAAGGCAATTGTTCGGAGAAATTATCGGGCACATGCTACGCCGACTATATTTAACAATTTATTCGGACGGTTGTGTGTGCAAGTTAATTATGTAATAAGCGAATTTGCGTAGCGATAATTATTATAATATTGCGCGTATCGCGATATCATTGTCAGGTATTCGTGAAATATTATGTTATTGCAGAATTTATCATTTATGTTATCAATTTCCACGCGACATATTTTATTTGTGCGCACCCCATTCTACGTCGTCGACGGAATTAGTTATCTCTTGCTAATTAAGGCTTTAATGAAATATTTGGAAATA